GGAGGGGGCGGGCCTGGCGCGCGGACATGGAGGCGCCGCGGCGGCGGCGGCGGCTGAACCCGACCCTTTTACCTTTGCCACGGGGCGGCGGCGGCCGCTTTGCATAGTGGGCCGGACCGCTCCTCTCCCCTCCCCGCCCGCGGCCGGGTGAAGCGAGCGGACTCCCCCTGACCGGCCCGGCCGGCGCGAGGGTGGGGGCGGAGGGGGAATGGCCGCGGCCCCGCCTCACCGTTGGCCCTCCGCCAGCGCCGCCATTTTGTTCTCGTCGGAGATGGCTCGGGCTGGGCCGGGCTCCCCTCCTCCTGCCAAGCCTCCTCCTCCCTGCGGTCCCTCCTTCCCTCGCTCCCCGGCTGCTCGCCCCTCCGCCTGCCGCCCGCGGTTGACGGCTGCCGCGGCCCAACCGCCGTTTTTTCCTGAAGGGGAGGGTGGAGGGAAAAGGGGGCGGTGACCTCGTGAGCGACGACCGGGCCGGCGAATGGCTGCTCGGGGAGGAGGGCCGGGTCCGAGCCCCGCCCCTCCGGGCGCTGCTGATTGGCGAGGGCGGTCCCGGCGGGGCGCGGGAGACCGGGCCGGGGCGGGGCGGCCCGGGTGTAGGGGTCCCGGAGCGAGCGGACGCGCGGGCGGGCGGGTGACCTCCGGGGACGGGACCTCGGGCTGCGCGAGTGCTGCCGGATAGTTGTAGTAAAGAACATGGAGCAGCGCGAGTCCTCGGCCCTGGCTCCCTGGAAGGGCTTTCCGGAGGCTGGACACCCTGCAGGGCTCTTGCCCGCATTTTCGCCGCGGCGGCGGGCGAAGCCCCTTTAGGCGGCCCCGTTTCTCAAGCTGTAAAATGGGGCGAACGGGCGTTCTTAACGCGTCGCGCCGCGCTTGCCGTCTTTGAGGGGCTCCACTCAGGAAGCGGAGTCCAGCCTACTAGTGAACCTCAAAGTAGCCCGAACGGGGTCTTCTTGGACATGGGAGGTGGAGCCAGCACAAGAGCCGCGCTTGAGGGCGGAGACCACTGGAGGGAGCTGAGGTGAATCCGAGGTAACTCCCTTCTCCTTGGGTGGCTACTGTTCGCCCGGTGCGGGGCCCTGCACCAGGCGCCCTCCTAGAAGTGGGTGAATTCTCGCAAAGCAATGGAAGTGGGTGGCGTGCTACAGAAGGCCCAAGGCCTGAGGTGACTGGAAGTTCCGGGCCGCGGGAGGTGAGCAGCAGCCTGCGCGGCTCGGCCAGCCCAGGTGAGCAGGCCCTGAGCGCACGTCGTGCAGCACAGGTGGCCCGGCCGGCCTGGGGCCTGAGGGGCTGCTGTCCCCTTTCTCCCCCCACCGCGCGTGGCGGGAGTCACAGCTCGGAGCTGTGCCTCAGGTGCTGGAGGACTCGAAATCTCTGCTCTGAGTAACGGCAGTGGCACGGAAAAGAGCCCTCGCGTGAGTTGTAGTGAGTGCCTTGGCGGCAAACCTCGGAAAAGCCTTTGCTTGCGCCTCTGTCGTCTTCAGTTCATCAGTTTTTTGCCGCGCTGGCCAGTACCTCAGGGCCCCCAGTGTGTGAAGAGGGGGCCGGTTCTGGCCCCCACCCCCGTGCCTCTCCACGTGTGGCACACGCGGAGACTGCCCTAGGTAGAGGCTAAACAGCCGTCATTACCCTGCCAGCCGGTGCCAGCTGTGTGACTGGGGGGCACTCAACTTTTTTGGGCTGCGGTCACCTCACCTGGGCAGTAATAGAGCTTTCTCTGCAGAGTTGAAGATGAGTAAGTCAGTGTAAAGAAAGAGTGTGGCCCTGGCACACAGTAGCTTCCAGATGGCAGCTGTGTTGATAGTGGGCAGCGCTGGCTGCCTGGAAAGACCTCGGTGCGTTAAACAGTAACACTTCCGGCGCCGTGGTGGTCGGGAAACCTGGGCAGAAGCCGGGTTCTGGCCTTGGCGCCTTGCTCCCAGGGGGTCCCGCAGCCTCCAGAGCTCAAGTTTGTTTGGAAAGTAATGGCGTGAAGTGGCACTGACAAAGCTCGGGTGCTTTACAGATCACAGTTATGGCGCAGCCTTGTTCAAGCCCCACACCGCTGACATAATGGTAGCGACCCCTTTCCTGCCCCCTTTCAAAGCCGCCCCAGCCGTTTCACCTCGTCCACATCCTTGTGCCTGAACACACTGGCCTGCCTTCAGTTTCCTGGCCAGTGGGATTTGCCTTCACACCAGGCGCTTGCACATCCTGTTCTCTCAGCCTGAAATACTCAGGTTCAGGTTACCCCTCCCCCATCTCAAGCTTCGCGTCCGCAGGGAACAGGCCTGATGCGCGCTGCCAGCCTACATCAGGTTCTTTTGCTTACACTGTGTTCTTTTCCTTTTTACCCTCTTTCACTTGATGGTCGCAAATAAGATTGACAGACTGGTATTTGTCCCCCTCACCGCTGGGCGCTTCATGGAGGCAGGAATTACTTCACCAGTGTACTTCCAGCCCTCAGCAGTCTGTCTGGCACTGCTGTCCAGTAAGCGAATTGTTGCCATTCATGCTGTCACTGAGATCTAAGCTGAGGTTGCTAGGTGGCATCTTTTAATGTGAACTCTCCTGATGGCAGTGCCACAAATAAAACGTCTGTTGTGGTGTTTGGATGAATTCAGGAAGTGGTTTTCCCTCACAGATCCAGGTCTGCCTGGTGGTGTAAATGTGGACAAGAGGATCCAGATAAACCCCACTTCATTCTTGGTGTTGCCCATATGTAAAACTTACATGTTTATGCTTTTTTTTTTTTTTAGAAAAGTAATAGATCATTTAGTCATTAACTGAATTAGAAGTTAAATTTTATGACCAAGTTAATGAGTTCATGTGTGAAGAAATAAGTAGCTCAGATGTAATAGTTTCTGTAACTGAAGTAACAAAATCCCACTGTGATTTTATTGGATTTAAAAGTGCTGGTCCTTGTTTCCCCATCACAAGGGAAAAGCATTTACTGGGCTGAGAGTTGAAAGTTTCTGTTGCCATTAATTATAAATATCTTTGTTTCAAAGATAAATTGATTCATGCCATGAAATTATTCAAGATCACTTTCAGATTTTTTAACATTGTGAGACAAAATAGGTGATAATGTTCTGCAAACTGAAAATGCTTTCTTCTCACATCTCTAGCTTGTACATGTTAGTAAGTATAAACCACACATAAATTTTGTTAATGGCATAGTAATTATGTGAATAATCTATTTGGCTAATTCCCTACTAAGGATTTAGTTTCTAGTTTTTCACTATTGTTAGGAAGACTGTTTTTGAATACCTTTAAGCCAAAATTTTTGCTAACTTTCCTGATAGCTGTAGAATTACTGGTCAAATACTACACAGATTTAAAATTTTCAACATAGTTTACACATTGCCCCTAGGAAAATTTTAATAAGTTGATATGCCTGTCAACATTCAGTGAATGTGCCCTCATCCCAAGCTCTGCTTGATGTATTTTAAAGAGTAATACTCTTTTTAATCCCTTTGTAAAATAGGTATAGAAAGTCATCTTAAAGTTTTATTGCAGCCTGTTAATACATAATACATTTCTTCTTCTTTTTTTTATCTTTTGATTCTCCCACCTCCCATCCTCTTTCCACTCTCCACCTCCGCCTCTGACAACCACCAATCTACTATAAGATTATTTTGTTGTTTTCAAATTCCACATTTAAGAGCTATCTAAGTATGCGTTTTTCTCTGGTTATTTCACTTCCTTTAGTATCTTAAGGCCTCAAAGTCCATCCACATTGCCACTAAAGCCGGGTTTCCTTATTTTTGATGGCTGAAAATAGCCCATTGGATACATCCACCACCACCACTTTATCCAGTCTCCTCTCCATGGATACTTAGGTTGTTACCAATACTTGGCTGTAAATAATGCTGCAGTGGGTTGAGTGTGGCTATCTCTGAGATAGTGCCTTTGTTTTCTTCATATACAAACCAGAAATGAAATTGCCAGATGGTTCTACTTTTAGTGTTTTGAGGGACCTGTTTTCCCATAGTGATGGCTTCATTTTATATTCCCACCAACAGGGCATTTCCTTTTCTCTGTATCTTTACCAGCATTTTTTTCTTTCTTTCTGATAATAGCCTTTGTAACAGGTACCAGGTGATAACCTTATTGTGGTTCTGATTTGCATTTCCTGATGATTAATGATGAGCATCATTTTGAAAACCTGTATGACTTGGGGAAAGTGTGTTTTAGCTGTCCTTTTGTCTTCTTTGGGGAAATGTCTATTCAGATCTTCTACCCATATTTTAATTGAGTTGGTTTTTGCTCTTGAGGTGTATAGGTTCTTCATATACTTTAAATATCTTAGACCTCTGTGGAGAAGACTAGTAGGAGAGCTTTTTAGCTGGATAGTTGAACTTATTCTTTTGGTGTCAGATTCCCATGTCAGGTAATTTACTGCCTATGTTTTCTATTAAGAGTTTTATTGTTTCATGTTTCACATTTAAAACTTTAATCTGTTTTGAGTTAATTTTTTGTGTGTGGTCAAGTTTTTTTATTTTGCAACACCGTTTATCAAAGAGATTTTCTTGGTTATATCTTCTTGACCCCTTTGTTGTAAATTAACTGACCATATCCCTTAGGTTTATTTCTAGGCCTTCTGTTGTGTTCCATTGTTCTATGTGTCTGTTTTTGTGTCATACCATATCATTTTATTTATTATAGCTTTGAAGTAAGAAGCATGATACCTCCGACTTTATTAAGGGTCTTCTGTGTAGTTCCATAAAAATTTTAGGATTAGCATTTTTTAAAAGTACATGACTCTTGTATCCTGAAATATTTTGTGAGAGACTGGCAATATAGTCTAAGTAATTCAGTGGCATAATTGGTCATTGTTTATATGACATAGGGATGTTTCTACACTGTTCCCCCTTTTTAAAAAACATTTATTTATGCATACAAGAACTGGGGTACAGGCCAGAGGTGCAGGGACAGTGAGAAAAGTCACCAGAGACAGTGGGGAGAGGAACAGGCAGATTGACGAAGTACACTGTGAGGGGTCAGGAGTGGTCTGCTGCGTCTTGTGGGTCAGCTTCCTGCCCAGGGATCGAACTCATGCTGAAGTGGCTGCAGCTAGCTTTGTAGTGCTGTGCTTTTAAAACCTTGCCCCACCAGAGACAGCCCTCTTTTTTTTAATGTTGTAAGTATTTTAGTATATTAAATTTATTTTATTTGCTTTCTCCCATCAGTAGTTCTCCCATCACCACAGCACCTGTGAGCCTGTGATCCATCTCCACTGTCCCATTGTTCTCCCCTCCCCTGCTTTGACCCTTCTCCCCAATACTCCCCTGCTTTATGCCTCAGAGCTATGTTCAGCTTGTAAGTTTTGTCTTTTTTCCTGACCCTTTGTTTGGGTTTTCTATATTCCAAGTATAAGTGAAATCATCTGATATTTCTGTGCCTTCTGACATTTCATTTAGCATCAGCCCTCTCAGCTCCATCCCTGTTGCCACAATTAGCAACATTATCACTAAGAAATCCTCCACTGTATGTATAGACCACATTTTTTTTAAAAAGATTTATTTATTTGTGCATACAGAACTGGGGTACAGGCCAGAGGCTCGGGGCGGTGAGAGGCTCCTGAGGGGAGCAGCAGGCGGGCCAGGAGAGGTCACCTCTGGGGTTAGGTGGGAATCAAACTCATGCAGAAGCAGCTTTAGCTTCTCAGTGCTGTGCTTTAACCCGCTGCGCCACCAGGGAGGGTCAAGACCACATCTTAATCCATTGATCTGTTTTGGGGCAATTAGATTATTTGCAGATAGTAACTATTGTCAGTGCTGAGTAAACATCTGAGTGCATATGATTTTTATCCTTAATTTTGTCGATGCAATATGCGTATCACATTAACTGACTTGCAGATGTTGAACATACCTTGCGTCCCTGAAATAAATCCTACTTAATCATGGTATATGATCCTTTTACTCTGATGCTGAATTCAGTTTGCTAATATTGTTGGGAATTTTTACATGGATGTTCAACAGGGATATTGACATGTAATTTTCATTGTCTGGTTTTGGTATTACGGAAAGGCTAATTTCATAAAGTGAGTT